TGGAGAACGGCACCGCCCGCACCCCGACTGCCGGCTGGGGAGGGGGGTCACTTACGTGGGGGGGAGGGGGATTAAAAAAGAAAGAAAGGAAAAAAACAAAACAAAACAGAAAGAGGAGAGCGGATGGCAGCTCGTCTCCGCCTGCACTGAGTGCCGCCGTGCGTCCTGCCCGACCGCCGGGGGAGGGATGGGAGAAGGGCTGCAGCTCAGCTCCCTGCTGGCCAGGGCGCGTGGTCAGGGGCGAGCTCTGCCACTGCTATCATTTCCCTCTTTAAAAATAAAATAAAATAAAATAAAATAAAATAAAATAAAATAAAATAAAATAAAATAAAATAAAAATAGCCATCCTTGAGTAGGGAAGTAGGGAATAAACCCATTCACCCCACAGAAATTTCAAATTAAAAAAAAAAAAAAAGAGAGAGAAAAACAACAAAGAAAACCCAAACCCCAGAGCGGGTGGGAAGGTCCCCCCCTCCTGCCCCACAGCTCTGAGACCAACAGAAAGGTGGTGGTGGATTTGTTGTTTCGTCTGTTTTGTTTTTATATATATATATACGTATATATATAATTTCCTTACGCCTTTTTATTTACCAACTCGCATGATTATGGTTACGACTTTGTTTCCGTCCCGCTGTTTCTCCCGTCGCGCTCGGTGTGTGGTGCGGTGTGGGTGGGTGCGCGGGGCCCGCAGCCGCGGCTGGGCTCAGTACAAGCCGCAGCCCCGCAGGTTGTTGGCGATGATGATGTCGGTGACGGCGTCGAACACCACCTGGATGTTGTTCGTGTCCGTGGCGCACGTCATGTGGCAGTAAATCTCCTTGTTGGGAGAGCGGTTTTTGCTCTCGAATTGTGCTTGGATGTAGGCGGCCGCGTCCTCGTAGGTGTTGGGACCTGTGGGCACAGGAGGCAGCATCGGGGCGTCAGGTCGGACCCCACGACTAGGGAAGGAACAGCCCCAAACCATGGTTTTTTTCCCTTTTTTTTTTTTTTTTTTAGCCATTTCAGCTTTCTTTCATGGGAGCCTGGATCTCAGCCTTGTGCCCCGGCACCCTGGGGCTGACGGCTCTGCAGGAACGGCCCTTTTGCCCCTTCTTCCCTTTTCAACCCCATTTCCCACTCCAATTTCTCCCTTTCCCCCCCATCCACCCCTTCTGTCTCAACATTCACCCCTTTTCTCCCTCTTTGCCAGCAGTTGGGTTCTGGCACAGGCTCCTCCCTCCCCAGGTGCCACAAATGTGCCCTCCCCACCCCCTATTTCCCCCAGCAAATGGAATCTGTGGCGGAGGACACCCATCCATCCATCCATAAGGATGCCCACCCACCCCCAGGGGTGCCAATCCATCCCCAGGGATGCCCATCCATCCCTGTGTTGCCAATCCACCCCCAGGAATATCCATTCACCCCCAGGGATGCCCATCCCAGCAGCACCGGTGAGACCCCACCGAATATCCCATAGTGTTGCACAGCCCCAGGGCCAAACATCACGGAAAGGGTTGGGACGTTCATTGGGTGCCCCCTCCGCCGTCACCCATGGGTGGGACAAGGGACTTGCTTGGGATGGGCCAGAGGCACCCTGTGGTGTGTGGGAGCCCCTCGATGCCACACCAGTGCCCTTTGCTTGGTGCTTTGGGGAGCATCGCAGGCTGGAGGAGGGCCAGATGTTCGGGTTGAAAAATGTGCATTATGGCATTAAGCTGCTTACAGTGATGAGAGCGGCTGCACCAGGCTCCTCGCAGGGAGCTACAAAGCCTGAATTATGCCCCTGAAATCGCCTTTGGGAGAGTTGCTGTTATCTGCAGATTTAGTTTCCTTTTCAAGCGCACTGCTTCCCCTCCTTCCAGACACAGAATGTGGTCGTAGGGCTGCCCCCAGCCTTGGGGATGGAGAATGGGCTGATGTGCTTTGGGGACTGGCCAGGAAGGACAGTGGGAGCGGTGCTGTGTCTGTGCTGGGATCCAGGAATGTTGTGGCTGGGCCCATCTGCATCACCCCAGGGTGCCCATGGGGGCACAGGGGTGCACCAGGGCAGGGGCACCAAGCCCTCATGGGAGGTGCTGGAGCTTTCCAGATAGGAGATAATTTCTTTCCCTTAGAATATTCAGAGCAGACATCTTGCTAGGGTGTTTCCTTGGTTCTTTTTTTTTTTTTTTTTTCCCAAGCCATGTTGGTTTCATTTACTCTTTTTAAAAAAGTATGAATCTCCTGTGACTTGAAAGATTTCCACTGTAGAGACTCCTTCCCCCCAGGTCTGCACTTTGCATCTCACAGAGGGTGAGGTGGGAGCTGTGGCCCTGGGGCGCTCGCAGCCCCACTCCTCTTCGGGCCCCATCAGCACGGCCAAGCGCTGGAGCACCCTGACTGCAGCCTCGTTGACTTGGTCTTCTCTGTGCCAATGGTGACCCATCCCCTTGTGTGGTTGCAGACAACCCAACAGCTGTGCCGTGTGGCTGGTGTTGCATGGGGAGAGGATGGCTGAGCCGGGGCCAGTGAGCGCCTCGGGAGCCCCGCAGGCAGGAGGAGGAGAGCCACGATACCACAAGCAGCAGAGATGCTGGTGAAGGCGCTCACAGCACTTCAGGGCGTGGAGCTTTCTGCACTTGGGATGCACACAGAGCGCTCTGCCCCCCCGCTGCTTGCCGCAAGAATTCACTAAACGTAAACAAGTCCCCAAGGAATGCCCTGGGCTGGTGCACCCTTGGAGGTGCCTCAGTATCCATGACCCTCCCCAGCTCTGAGCTGCAGCCCCACACCTACCTGCGTACTCTGGGAAGCAGATGGTCAGGGGGGACTTCTTGATCTTCTCGGCAAATAGGTCTTTCTTGTTGAGGAAGAGAATGATGGAGGTATCAATGAAGAATTTGTTGTTACAGATGGAGTCGAAGAGCATGAGAGATTCGTGCATGCGGTTCTGCAACAGGGAGCATGGAGAGGAGGAGAGAAAGGCAAAGAGAGAGAGTTAGAGGAGAGGAGAACTGGTTTTTCCACACTGAAATGGTTAGGAAGCAAAACCCATACAGTCAGACAGGGGTAGGGGCGAGGTAGGGCATGGGGCTGCAGCTTCTCCTCCACCACCCCCTGCTCCTGCAGGGCTGATGCCGGAGTCACAAGAAACAGTGGAGAAAGAGCTGTTGACTCATCATCTGCCCAAAGAGAGGGCTGGGAAGGGGCTGTGGGCTCTGGGGTGACCCACCTGTGGGCCACATGGTGCCATCACAGTGGGGCACAGCCCAGGGTGCAGCACGGGGCTGGGGCAGGTGCTGCCCTATGGAGCCTGCAGCCACATCCTCAGCCTTTGGGAACCGCAGCCCCTGGCTGAGAAATGCGGGGCACAAAGGGAGCTGCTGAGCCCACCTCCTGGGCTGCTCTGGGGAGGCTTAAAGCATGTGAGAGCTTGAGCAGGAACATAGAGGAAACCGCTAAAAGCCGTGTTGTTTAATAGTCCTTTCATGCGTGAGCAAACCACACCCGGCCTTCCCTGTGCTGTGGGAGCTGTTAGCAGAGAGGACAGAGGGAAAGGAGAGCAGAAGGAGGCGATGCCGAGGGGCTGCAGGGCTGTGGGCTTGGCAGTCGGGGCGCAGTGCTCCTTCGCCATCCAGGAGCGTGCAGGTGCTCCCTAATGAAATGATGACCCAATTACACATTTTGGAGTTTTCCATGAATGTTTTATTAGTGAGTCATTTTCTTAGCTACACTTCGGCTGCAGCTTTTGCATGCAAAATTTAGCAGATGTCTGATTTCATCTCGAAAGGCTTTGAGATTACGCTGTCGTTTCCTTGGCAAAGCAGAGCTGTGAATGCCAAGCAGCTGCTTTCCAGAGCTTCTGGACCTCATTAGATCCTTATACATATATTTTAAAAACTCCTATTGATTGAAAACAAACCATTACAAGTGGATGCGGCTCTTCTCACCTTGGCCAAGCGGCCTTTGCAAAAGGTTTTCCTGCAGGCAGCAGGGCAGGTTTCGTTTCCTTGTTCACCCCACTTTGTTCCACATGTACATTATAAAGGAGTGGTGGAGGAGTGGAGGAAACAAAGGCTGTGCCTGGGGGATGGAAGCCCCAAATGCAGCAAGAACAGCCCCAGTGACTTCCAGATGCTCATGCAGGACACCACCCTGGAGGAGATGTTAGGAATCCCCCAGGACAAATACACAAAGGAAAACTCCTCTTCCTGAGCCTCTGGTGCTTCCTGGAGCTGGTCCTTGGCTCTGCAGGATGGGGCTGCGAGGCCAGGTCCTCCTGAAGTTGCAGCGCTGAACATACTGAAGGCAGGAGCAGTGACAGCTGATTTTCCTACGCTGAGGCTGATGGAAAAATTTCCCTTGCTTTCTTCAAACTGGTATTCATGCTTTCTATTTCTTGCCTCCGGTAATGGAAGCCCTTTGGATCAAACACAAAAGAACAAAGTGACACGAGTGTTATTTTGAGGGGACCGAAAGGTGCTCCAAGTATTGTGTCACCATGGTGGGGGAGAAGCACGATTTGCTGAAACGAACCAGAAATAGCTCTTTTGTCGCTGTGCCGGCGCTGATTGACAGAGGCAGAACATCGCAACGCTCGCTGCTGGTGCTGGGTGTGCAGCCACGACGCTGGAGGAAGGCTTGGGGCAACGCCGGCGAGAAGCCGAAGACGCCGTCTGCAATGCATGGTGCCAAATCGCCACGGTTTGTCTGAATGCCTTTCATGCAGATGCTTGCAACAGGACAGCCTCACAGAAGAAGGCCGGGTCTTCCAAAGAGCGCGGTGCACATGGCTGCTCTTTACTCTGGCAGTGTTGCAGTTGGCTGCTTGCGTTGGCAATGAGAAGGGCAGATATGGCCATGTTGGGGTGAAGATCTCTCACTTTCTGGCTTCATTCTTTGCCAGTGCTCTTCCAGGTGCGAGGCCAGAGCAGGAAACCCAGCACATGGATGGCTGCTCTACGTGCACAGAGCAGAAGAACGGCCGATGCTGGGGCCAAGAAGCAGAACATGCCAATAAAACCCTCTCACACTAGAAAAGAGCTGGCACTTTATTAACATTTGGTAACTAATAAATACATTACTGACAGCCAATAAATTATTACAATAGCTAACGTTCTATTAAACCAATGGACAGTCACTCTTCGTACAAAATTACAGTTAATGCGGTTGGGGCCATCAGACATGCGGGAGGAGCGGCTCGGCGGTCCGGTGGGAGGAGGGGACAGAGCCCAGAGCCGCGGTGACGGTCACTGCTCCTGTGTCGAGCTGCAGGGGGAAAGGAGGAGCGGGGAGAGGGTGTTGCATTGGGAGTGGGGTTTTAGTGGGGTTCCTCTTTCAACTCTGTGTGCGAGGCGGAGGGCTGAGGCTGGTCGTGGTGAAGGCACTGCGGGGCACTGGGTGCTGCCAGAGCTCCTGTCTCTGCGGGGCCGCTTGCACAGCTGTGCTGCGCTCTCTGAGGGGGTCCCTAAAGGCTCAGGAGATGTGGCCTTGGAGCACGCGGCTGTGTGTTCAGGTGTGCTTGTGGGTGTGTGCTTATTGCTATCAGCCCCTGGAGAGGTTTTCCTCCTGCGGGGTTCTGCGTCTTTGGAATTGCCCTTCAGCTAAGTGAGCTGATGGAGTTTTGCCATCACCTCACTTAACCTGTCCCTCTCACTGCGTACAGAGCAGCACCAGGTTCTTCCTTTCTGCTGGGACCCCTCAGTGTGCCCTGCATGTGGTACCCCACAGAGGAGCATCGCCTCCAGAAAGCATGTCTGTTGGGAAGGAGGGAACAGAACACCAGCAGCAACAGCTGGAATGGAGCTTTAGATGTACAAAATGCCAAAGGAAAGGCTCCATGTGCAGCACTGCCTCCTGCCCCCACTCCCCATCTTGGGGACACTGACTGGGCTGCCAGTCACAGGGGAGTGGTGACATAGCCACATCCGGGGTTAATCCACACTTTCTTCCCTGAAATATCCCTGCATGCTCCATTCTGGACCCTCCTGAGGCTTTGGTTTGGTGCTGCCTTCACTGGAGACAGCCTCTGCAACTTGGTGAATTGGAGAAAATGTCAGGCACAGTAAGGGGTGGAAACAGCGCACCTCCAAACCCCACATGCTGCTGAGTTGATTCTGCTGATGGAGCTTAATAAGGCCTTGCTGCTGGTGAAGGCACTGGGGCACTCTGCACATGAGGTGCTCCATGCTGGAGCTGACAGTGACATACACTTAAGGTATCACTTGGAACTAACATTCAGCTCTTCAGCCTCTCCTCCCTCCTGCTGCTTCCACCTCCCTTACCGTCCTTTTGCAACTTCTGTTTCCAACCCCTGAGCTCCCCAGCCCCTCCCCACTCACCTGTCCCCTGCTCTCCCCCCTTCCCCTCTCCTTTCATTTTTCCTGCTCCATCACTTGGCTCAGTTCGGCTCAGCTCAGCTCAGCTCCCCACGAAGCAGACAGGTCAACCTTCCCCATCTGCTGGTTGGCAGGTGACCCGATGGGGACACTACCTCTGGAGCCACCCCTCCAGGATGCAGGGGCATGGGTGACAAATCCACCAGCTGCTGCTGGCTTCCAATGGGGCTTCCAAAAGCACATCCCTGTCTTACAGGTACAGCCTGGCTGCAGGAAACCAGTGTGAATATTTCTGGTGTTCCAGGACTGAAGTTAGGAACATCCAGCTCCGCAGTCAGTCTGGAAGGGCTCTGGGACACCTCTCTGCAGTCCCCACCGGGGCACCGTGGGACAGAGGGCTGAGAGTTGCCACCAGCATTCCCAGGGCCACCATGACATGCACAGAGCCCTGGCTGGGACACGTCCTCCACTTGGCACACAGGGAAGTCCCCACCGTGGGCACTTCCCTACAGCCATTCCACATGGGACCCAGCAAAGCACAACGGGGCTGGGGATGGGAGCCACTTTACTGGGAGCACCAGGCAGGTCGTAACATTTATTCTGAAAATATTGAGATAAAACTGTTATCTGCAACAATTTTGGGCAACGCTTAGGAGGTGCCGTAACTGCGCCGGTCTCACTCAGGCCCCGGTGGCTGTGTCAGTGATGGAGAGCAGAGCAGAGAGCTGGGCTGCTGGGGCTTTTCTTGGGGCTCCTGGGGCAGGAGCTGAAGCTATGGGATCAAAACGATTCGCTGCTGCCCAGGAGATGGCAATTTTGGAAGAGATAAATAGCAAGCGTTACAAATATCCCTTAATTTCAAGGAGAAAAAAAAAAAAAAAAAGGTTTGGATCCAAACTACGCTGCTGCTGACAAATATTTTAAGGCTTTGATTATTATTATTATTTTTAAATGGGGTATTACTGTTTTTTGGCAGTTGAAATGCACTTTGTGGGAAATGCATCAGCTCCTTCTACAGCACTGCGAATGGGAACGGAGGAGCAGAAAGAGGCAGCAAGGGGAATTCATCGAAAATAAACCCAAATAAGCCGGGAGGGGGCCGGGGAAGGTGAAATGCTGCAGTTCTGGGCAGAGGGAAGGGTTCACGTGTTCCTTCCTCATCGCCCTCCAAGGAGGGGAAGCAGAAGGGGGACCTGTCTGCTGAGGCCTCAGTAGAGTCCGCAGCCCCGCAGGTTGTTGGCGATGATGACGTCCGTGACAGCGTCGAAGACGAACTGGATGTTGTTGGTGTCGGTGGCGCAGGTGATGTGTGTGTAGATCTCCTTGTTGGGAGACTTGTTCTTGCTCTCGTATTGCGCCTGGATGTACGCCACTGCCTCGGTGAAGGAGCTGGGGCCTGCGGAGAGATGAGCCCAGAGGGGAAGAGCTGGTTAGGGTGTGCGCATGGACCTGCACCCACAGCACCACGTCCTAGGGCACCGCGCTACAAAGAGGTGTTGGTGGTTCTGTTTCTTTTCTTTTGAAAGACAAAAATGCTCACTCAGAATCAAAGAAGGGCCCCACCCAGCCTGACCTTGTATGTCTCCAGGGATGAGACATCCACCACCTCACCGGGCCTTTCGGGTAACTTAGGATTGCACGGCCAAAATCGTGCCAGGAGGAGTTCCTCGTTACGAGTCTCTGTGCCAAACCTCAGCCCTCACACATGAAGCAGTGTTCTAAGAAGCTCTAAAAAAGTCATCCTGGATGACAGGCACTGGCTGACACACACAGCTCCACCTGGCACAGATCTGGGGGGCTCAGCTTCTCCTGGCCCCTGCATGGATCCACACTTGGATCCTTCTCTCTCAATTGTTGTTTTCACTGAATCACTGAATATCCAGAGTTGAAAGGGACCCATAAGGATCATCAGGTCCAACCCCTGGGTAGACACTGTTATGGGATAGTGAAGCTCTCCCTGGGGCTGTGATTTGCTGCGGTTGAAGGCAACAAGGAGTGGCTGTCATCTGTACCCCCACTGCTGTCTGAAAACACGGAGGCCACAAGACTTGAGATGCACTTGACAAGATGTGTGCCGGGAGCAGGATGCTGCACGAGGAGCTGTGCAGAGTTTGGGCCAGGTCTGTGCGCTGAGCACAAGCAGGACACTGGGAGATGCAGGGATGTTGGTCACTCGAGGATTTAGTATTTAGATCCTGGATGGCCGGAATCACAAACAGCAGCATGGCTCAGAGCACAGACCGGATTGTGCTGCTGTGCAGCTGAGCACTGCGGATTAGCTGAAAGCGCGGGTGAATTAAGGCGATGGAAATAAGCAGTGCTCTAGGATGCAGCTAGCACATTTGTGAATGCAGCTCTCTAATAATTCTCTGCCAGCAGAACTAATGGACATCAGAAACTTCATTTCATTAAAAGCATTTTGTGTAACCGACTTTTGATGTCAGAATCCCACTTGTCTGATTCACAGGCTTTCATCAGATATTTTTTTTTAACCCCAGGGCAACTTTCCACTTCACGTTGCTTTTCCCAATTCTACAAAGCATTTGCTATGGGCTTTCTGGACTGGGCATCCAGAATGGCCCCTCGAGGGAATCTGGAATACCTTGAGAGCAGGAGAGGGCTGCATTGGCTCAGCCTGGGATGGAGTGTTCTAGGAGCAAACCATGTTTGTTTTCCTCCCAGCACTTAGATGGGAGCTGAGGGCTGCCCCCAGAACAGAACTCATCTTGGGGAGGACAAGTGGTATCTAACACTTCCTGGCTGCTCCAACCTCTGCCATCAGAATTATGGAAGGGTGTTATTTGGGAATGGGGTGATTGGGAGACTTCTGGGAGGGTTAACTAAATTAGGTGCACAAAACTTGATGAGGAAAGAGTGGAAGGTGCAGGTTTGCTGCACAGAGGAAGAGGGGAAGATAAAAATCTGGATAAAGAATACAGTGATCCAAAAAGAGAGCAAGCAACATTCTAATCTGCAACCACGAAAAATGTGAGGTTGGCATTACTGTGAGCCTTCAGCCACAAAGACTGTGCCATTTCCATTGTTAGATCAGAGCGTCATATCATAGAATGGCCTGGGTTGAAAAGGACCTTAAAGATCATCTGGTTCCAACCCCCTGCTATGTGCAGGGTCACCAACCAGCAGCCCAGGCTGCCCAGAGCCACATCCAGCCTGGCCTTGAATGCCTGCAGGGATGGGGCATCCACAGCCTCCTTGGGCAACCTGTTCCAGTGCCTCACCACCCTCTGAGTGAAAAACTTCCTCCTAATATCTAACCTAAACCTCCCCCGTCTCAGTTTAAAACCATTCCTCCTTAACCTGTGATTATCCACCCTTGTAAAGAGTCGCTCTCCCTCCTGTTTATATTCTCCCTTCAAGTATTAGATCTTTTAGTATAGATTCTAGTATAGATCTCTTAGACTAACGTGCCAGGATTACTGTGGTTCTGCCAGAGCATTGTGGTTCTGCCTGGAGCAAGGGGACAAGCAGATGGCTGAGATGTGGTGGTGGTGGCGACAGACACCCGGACCTTCCCTGCAAAGGAAACCTGCAGATGCTCCTCAGAACTCAGGCAGAGTTGATGATCCACCATGCAGCCCAGAGGAGCAGGAGTGGATTGCTCTTCCCTATTCACAGCATAAACGAAGTGCTCAGAGGTAGATAGCTCTGGTTAATAATTTGTTGGCCTGCCCCTAAGTGTGACGCTCCTGGTGCTCCCGGTTCACAGCTATGTTTCCTGACAAAGAGATCCACTTCTCTGTCTGTCAGCTTGATTCATCTGGATGTCTCTGGTGAACTTAAATAATTCATGATGATAAAAGTTTATTTTTATGATGCCCTCTCGGAATGGTAATGAGGGTTTGTGGGACCTGCAGCGGGAAGCAGCAGGGTGCAGCTGCAGACTTTGCATGGGTGACGTGTTCCCTTCATGAGCAGGTCAGGCACCAGGCAGGCAGCAGGAAGCAGGGCTATGCAATTCCCTGCAAATGCCATCACTGTGCCAATACCCTGACCGTGCAAATGCCCTGATGAGCAGCGGTGGCTCTTCAGTGCCAAAGAACTCTTAAGTCACTCCCGTGCTTTTTGTGACCGACTGGAGATGGTTGGGAATTTAGTGAAGAATAAAAAAGACCTTTTGCAGAGAAATTGATGGGAGCACAGCTGTGCATTCAGAACTCTTTCAGCTCACTGCCTGCCTGGCTGGGTAATGCCACATGCAGCCCTCCCATCCCTTTGCCCTGCAGCCCCACACATGAGTTTTCTCACTACCTGTGTACTCAGGAAAGCAGATCGTCAGTGGAGATTTCTTGATTTTCTCCTCAAATATGTCCTTCTTGTTTAGAAAGAGGATGATGGACGTATCTGTGAACCACTTGTTGTTGCAGATGCTGTCAAACAGTTTCAGTGATTCGTGCATGCGGTTCTGCAATGGAAAGAACACATCAGGCTAAAGGCACTGACTCGGGGCTGTTCAACATGTAAGGAAATCTAAAACAACTGAATTAAGGAGGAAAACAAACAAACAAACAAAAAAAACACAACAGCTACAATATACATCGTAAATGTATATATACATACAGCTGAACATACACATATGCCATCCCTATAACAATGCACATATACATACACAGATGCAGTCCCTATAATGTCTGGCGTACAGTTAGTAACTGTAGGGCATTCAGCTATATAGAGCTGTTCTGATTTCGCATAGCAAACAATTTAGAGGATCCCAGCTCACAAAATCATCATGCACCATGCATGGACCAGGAGTCACGTTTGCCCTTTGATCGGATTCATGTGTCGGTGCAGCTCATGCAGATTTTCTAAATTTTTTTTTTCTTTTTTTCTTTTTTAACTTTCTTGAGCGTGTGCGGCACACAATCGTTCTTTACATTAACCAAGGACTGGTAGATCCTTGAATTAATCTCGAGTTGGAAGCAGACCTGCAGGTGACATGGGCTGGGGAATGACCTTGCCGTGAGCTTTGTCTGTTCAGTTATTTTGTTTAGTGCTGTCGTCTGTCGTTGGGCTTGTCTAGGAATTTTGGAAATTTGCTTTTAGTTCTCTTTGAACAAAAAGTGTTCAGCAGAGAGGAGAAAAAGAGGAAAAGTATTAAGAAAAACACAGAGAAGGGCATCTAAGAACAGCCAGCTACGGGTTAGGCAGCCACCAGTGGTGTTAGCCCACGCCTTGGGGAAGAACATTAGCTGCTCGTCATCAGGTCAAGAAGTCAGCATTGTGGTTAAAGTCATGCAAAAAACACACAGGAAAGGAAAGAGAGAAAAGGAGTGAAAAAAGACGGGTGAGAGAGCTGCACGGCCCACCGACCGCGGGAGGAGCTCACGGCAAAGTCACCCTAGCACCATCTTCCCCGCTGCTTCCAACTCCCAAATCAATGGGTGTTTTTTTTTTTTTGTTTTTTTTTTTTTTCTTGGTTCAAGAGAAGCTCCATACCTGCCAAATTTGGTTGGTGTCTCAAACGCTCATTTTTGGGCCCTTGTTTGGCTAGGCAGGGTCGTGGAGGTGCCGAGGCTCGGTGCTGCTTGGCCGTCGGTGCCCGCGTCCGCCGGGCGCGCTGAGGACGCAGTTATGGCACAGCGTGGGGCCGCCGAGGCACACGCAGGACTCGCAGACGTCGCGGCCGCACGGTCGCAGTGCCGATGGTTTTTGGCGCAGAGCGGCGCAGCCCCCCGATATTTGGCAACCCTGCAGGGCAGGACGCTCCGCCTGCCCCATCCCACTCTGACCCACGCACACACGTGTTATTGAGCCCGGAGCGGTGCTGATTAACGCTCCCCTTTGCATTGCTGAGCTTTAGCTGCTGGCGGACGCAGCTTGGTGGGACATGACCCCCCCTCCTCCACAACGGCACAGCAGGAGGTTGTAACCACGTGCAAATGTGCAAACACACAAATACACGTAGTTAGCGGTGCTGGCCGCAATCTGCATGTTGGGATCGTCCCAGCTCCGTGTGCTGCATTCCTGCTCGCTCGCTGCATTATGCCTGGCATCAGAATTGTGCCCGTGTGGAAACCCACAGATATTTGGTGTGGGCAGCACCCAGGGCCCATTAGGAGGAGAAGGGAGAGTGGAGGGTGGTCAGGGGAACGAGGAGCGAAGACACCCAACTGCTGGTCAGCAGGGTCCCCCACGGAACATTTGTGAAAGCATTTTTATCGTCAGTACTGATTGAAAACAGAAGCAGAGAGAAACACAGGAATGCGTCCCATGGCATCGTCGTACTTACCGTGCCACCCTCACTGCCCTGCCCAGCAAAGCCATGCTGCACACCAGGCATGGCCCACAGCAGCACGGCTGTGCCAGGGCCCCACAGAAGCCCCCCTGCTCCCCTCCTGCCAGGCACCACAGTGCCTTCCCAAGGAGCGGGCGACTCGTCGCACTCAGTCTCAGCCAGAACATACACACAGCACCACTCAGGGTATTCCTGGAGGGATGACGGGTAGGGCAAAATTCTGCAATCCTTTCTACTTCCAGAGGCAATTTTGAAGCCCCATGGGGCTGCCTGACCTGGCTTCTTTTGTATTTTCCTTGGCAACTAAGTGCTAACTAGCATGCAAATTATAAGGATATTGGCCATTATCCTAAGCACAAAAACCCCATATCCCCCTCCTGGTTTATTTCCGAAGACACCCAGGCTGCTGCCGCTTGCTAAGGAAATTTCTGAGTGCTGCAATTCAATTTTCCCTGCCCAATGATAGCACAGAGCACGCTAAGCAGGTCATGAAACGAAATACAAACCAACAGGCCAATACTAATGCACATCCAGGGTCACCAACACGATGCCTCCAACCCATTACACGTTCAGCAACGGGGATGCAGACAATACTCTCATGTCTTAGCTCAATATGGATGACCTAAATATCGTCGTTCCAGAGGCAGCAATATGCATCCTCCTCCTCTCTTGTGATGGCTGCTCTGCAGAAGAAGCAGAGAACCAATGGTTCCTGTGACGAATCCCATACCATCACTGTCTTAAAACATGAGGAGGAACAATGCAAACCTGCCTTTGTTTCACTGATGGATGTAATTGCTGTCCCTCTCTCCTTCCAGTTACAGAGTTGAGGCTTTGCATCCAATAATCTCTTCTCATACAACACAACAGTAAGCCACAACTGAGACAAAATAGCACTGTTATGCAAAACCAAGCACTGCCTGAATTTCCTTGTGGGTTTGTTCCTGACTGCTTGTGCATGTGGCCCTGCAGCCAGCCCCGGGACACGATGCTGTGGGACAAGTGGCATACGATGGTGACTGGGGCAATGTGAGCAATGTGAGCGACTGGGCATTCCTTTGCAAAGCATGATCTGCGGGGGAAGAAGGGCCAAGAAGTCTCAGATGCAGAAACTTTTCTTTCTGACCTGGATGCAGAGAAGCACTTGCCTTCCTTGACATCCATGGGGTTGCTCTTTGTGGTGGGGAGCTGGGGAGAAAACATGTCCCTTATAAACCATGACAGCCCTTAGGGACCCTTCCCTACCAGCCTCAGGATGGGGCAGCTCAGTGGGCGTTTCATCAGGCTCTTTGCTCAGCCTTGTTTGAAACAATTGCAAGCCATTACGAAGCCCTGCGCTTATTGCCAAGCGGATGATGATGTATCAGGAAAAGCTGTGCCCTCTGTGCACCAGCTCTGCAAGTGTTTTAGGGCACTTGACTTGCAACAGGGCTCCTTTCTCCCCTTGCCAGCACTGAAAGCTCCGCAGGCATCTTCACACCTGTGCAGCCTTCAAACTTTCAGTGGCTTAACCAAGTTGGAAGTGCCTGCACCACAGCACACGTTTCTACAGAAAACAAAGATGGACAATAAGCACCCAGCCTTTAGCTGCCCTCTTTTTCGTGTTTTCTAAGTGAGAAGCAATAAAAGCTGATTTACGTCATTAAAACCAGCAGATGTGACGGATGCAGGCAGACAGCAAATCAGCTGGCCGAAGAGGTGCTGCGTTCTGCTGCTGTTTGGAGAGGCACCACGCTACCAGGGAGCAGGGTGAGTGCCTGGGGCCATGCTGAGAGGGTGTCTGCCAGGCTGCACTCCCCACTGCCCATGGTGCAGGCAAGATGCCATGCTGTCATTCTGCCGCTTTGCACTGACCACACATTGATCCAGTGTTGATCTGGGTTAGGCAGGGGTGTCCCACTGTGCAGGAGCAGAATGCTCTCCGCATTTACAGCGAATGTGTAAATGAACAGCAGCTCCCTCTGCTCTCCCGTTGCTCAGCATCCCCAGGAAGGCTTTGTCAGAAGGGAACAGTGAGCAAATGTCGGTGCTGTGCTGGACCCTTACTGATGTAAAAGCGAGCCTGGAGCTGTGCAGATCCCGATTTCAGCAGCAGCATCATGGTTCGGGCATCACAGCCAAAGTCAAGCCAGCAGAACACCTTGCTCTCCTCTCAGGCTGCAGCTCAGCTCCCTGCCCTGAACACCTGTCCTCTCCCTGCATATTGCTTCCAACTCCAGTGTGTCCCCCCACACTCACTCAGCTGCAGGGCTGCGTGGCACTGAGTTATTGCCTGGGTTTTTACATCCCGGCAGGAGATTATGGTCCTTCCCCAGTGAATCCTGCAGAACTGTGCATCCCTCATCAGGGACAAGGGCAGAAGGAGGTGAAAACTGAGGGTTATAAATGAGCAGTCACAAGGAGGCGCAGGGTATCTTCATTGGACTGCTTAGCTACTTGGAGGTACATAGTCATGATGTGAACACCACCCTGAATTCTGGTCCCAGTACCACCTAAACAAACTTCAAGCAATTTCATTCAACAGTTTGCCAGCACTCAAATAGCCAGTTTGGAAAAGGCTGGCTCCTCCAGTCTTCTGGGAAAAAACAAGTGGTAACTAACAGCATACATTCCTCGATTTCCTCCTCACCAGCAGGACTGACATCTCACAAGCAGGAGAATAAAGACCCTCAGACAGGCAGGGCTGGCAGGTGTGAGACTGAGCACAGATGAAATAATTATCCAGGTTGAAGTATGGCTTTTGGCTCCTTTTTGTTAGACAAATGCAATCGGGTGCTTGCTGCACTTGTTAGTCCCCAAAGCTTTCATTTCCATCACACCGAATGAATGGCTAGAATACAGTAATGAGTCCTCTCGCATCCTTTCTGTGTATTTAACTCATTTGTATTAATAGCACTCTTTCTAATATCAGAGAGCACAGGTCCCTACTAACTTTATTTCCAGATGGTATTTTGAGCCTAATGTCACAGTGGGAAGTTATAAAAGCTCTCCTGAAGCAAATTACCTAAGAAATCAAGCAGTTCCACTTTTACTCATGAAAATGAATTTTTGTAGCCTGAAGAAATAGGTTCTGCTCCTCGCCTGAGCCTGCCTCAGGAGGGCACTTTGCTCCCACTCCACTGCACCACTATGGGACCTCTTCCTTCCATTTCTTTTAACAGCCCACTCATCTGCCTCTCTGCTTCCGGACACAGAGTCCTGTTAGCACACTTTGAAAACACAGAGATCAGCCAGAAAAGAGAAGTAAAACACTGTGACTTCTCCAGCACATGAACCATTACCTGGGACGCAGGACTTGTTTTTGGGGAGTGCAGAGGAGGACAAGCCTCCTTGGGATGTCAAAGGGGCAGCAGCGCACAGAAGCAGGTAACTGCAGTCCCACAGCCAGCACACGGCCATCTCCCAGCGGTGCTGGCTCCACGGCATCCCGTGAAGAAGCACGGGGCCCTGTGGGACCCGCTTGGCACTCACCGTGGTTTCGTCTTCATGGAGCACCTGGTCGTAGCCGCTCAGCGCCACGCAGAAAATGATCGCCGTGACGTCCTCGAAGCAGTGGATCCACTTCTTGCGTTCCGACCGCTGCCCTCCGACATCGAAGAGCCTGCGGCACAGGATGGGACCATCAGCGCTCGCTCGTTGTGGGGTGAGGGGACCTTCAGCAGTTTGGGCACTTTCCTGCCAAATTGTTCCTGGAAGGCTCCAAACGCAGAGCAAGAGGTTGATAACCTCTGGCTCGGTCTCTCTGCTGGCTGTCATCATGTTCACCAATACGCAGCGCTTTCCGTGTATGATCAACTCATTTTGGAAAAAAGATTTGGCCAATATTTGTCTATTTATGAGACTTGGGGCCAATCTCATATTGTCTTTCCAAGCAAAGAGGTGTTGGTTGGGTTAGAAGAAGGCAGCACAAGCTCCCGTCTTAAAAAGAGCTGTTTGATATACAAACAGGAATTATTAGACAAGAGTCTTATAACTCTAAGAGACTTATGGCACTGATGTCTCCCAGAAATGCCTCGTCACCAACTTCCTTGGTGTGTGCAATTTGAGACTCACCTGAAGTGGAGGTTTTTGAACGTGAAGTGGGTTTCTACGATGCCAGTTGTTTTGACCCTGGTTCGAAGGATGTCCTGCTCCGTGGGCTGGTAGTCTGCAGCTCCGATTCGATCTAAGCTGTCTAGGTAGCTAAGGGAAGAGAGGGAGAAAAGAAAACAACCAGATAAGAATAAGGCTCCCATTAATCTTTGCCAATCTCAGATAAATCCTCCAGCTTCCTATTCATCATTTTCAATCTCATTTTCATGGCTGAATGTATTGTAGTTAAAGAAGAAAACTCTCCCATTCTGCGAAAAAACCCTACAAACATGAACCAAACCCACAATTCCAACTACAAAATCTGATAGCAGACCGAAAGCAGGAAATTAAGTCTTCGTGCGTTGTAAGCCCTGATTGCAATCTGTGAAAATACATCGTTTTAATATTACTTGCTGGTTTTATTCCCAGAGGGATGAAGGTCCTGGTCAGCCCCTTGGGCTAGGTGCTGCCCACATGCACACTTTGCTCTCAGGACTTACTCAAAGCACTACAGCCTTGCCAGAGAAGAGGCTGTAGTAGAGAGGAACAGCTGGGTTGAGCCCCCTTTGCTGGGAAGGGACGAGGCCAGGCTGCTTGCTGGGATGGCATGCCGAGTTAGGTGAGACAAATCTGCCCCGTGTAGCTTTGGTGTGGAATCAAACACCAGAGCAGTGACTGTGGGAGATACACTGCTTGGCCAAAAGCCAGGGGCCAGCCCAGATGTGATGATTTGCAAGTTTGCTCCGAGGTCTTTTGGGGAGTGGGGGGCTCATTTTCTAAAACATTTAAGGATACTCTCACCCTTACTCTCACCCTGGCTTAAAATCTATGGCCATAGGCAATGCTTCACCATACTGGAACTTTGGGCATTAAGTTCTACCTTTTGTAGACGATGCCCTACAGCTGAGCCCATATCAGCACAATCCATTTTTTCATCCACATTCAAGCTGATTTTTCCAAACAACCCGAGACAATGAAACATAGGTTACAAGAAAACAAGGAATTTGATTCGGAATACAAGTCGGTGTGAATGACAAACACCTAGCTGTGCATCACGCAGTGAAGTCTTTCCCACCACTGCTGAACACAGACACTCAACTGTGGTGATGGGCTGATGGTTGGACTAAAAGCTCTCAGTGGTCCTTTCCAACCCTCATGATTCTATGGTTCCTAGAGGGGGCAGGTGTGCATTACAGAGCCCAGCTGCCTACCTCCAGATCCAGGAGCTGCCATCTCATGTCTGTGAGATGCACTGTGACTATACCAAAGCAAATCTGTCCAAGAGCAGCAGTTTGGCCCTTTGGATCTCTGTTTTTTGGGCATCCTGCATGTTACCCAGCAGTAAAAGGAGCTGTGTATATGTCAGGAAAAGACATCATCTTCACCAGTAAGTATGAGTTTAGAGGGAGTGGAGGTTTTGTCGCTCCTTTTGCTGAAAATTTGCAGGAATTGTGTCACCCAAAGAAAAGTAAATAAGGAGAGTTATTTTTACTGTGCCTTTTTTCAAGCATTTAAAGAGACTGTGGTTTCATGACAGATGCTCTCTTAATAGTCTCGTGATGGGCTCTGGATAGATGAATGGGGCTTCATTGGCTCGTCACTGAAACGAGCTCCTTCGCTGTGACGGCCAAGGCCATGATCACTCATCTGCTCACAGCTGGCTGTCAGCTTCTGTTATTTAAGAGACAGCTGCATTCCTTTACACGTCCCCACAGACCCAGAAGCTCTGCAGTGCTGCTATTCAGAGACTCAAGCTTCCCCTGTCCTCCAGAACAAGATCAGAAATGCTAAGGGGTAGAAAGTGGAGCTGTAAGAGAGCAGGGATGGTGTTTCCTCCTGCAGGTGCCCCGCAGACCTTGATCTCTTCCTCCATCTCCATTTTCTGTAGTTTCCTCTGATTCAACTCCATTTTAAGGCATTTCCTATTAATTATTCCTTCCTTTCAGACCCTCCTTTTGTGCTGAGAGTGCAGTGGATGAAGAGCTGCTGCTGGCCGAAGGGCTCAGCATTGCAGCAGCACAGTGCTGAGTGGTTCTTTCATGTAATGACATGTGACAATTTGCTCGTGTCCTCCAGGCCTCGGGCCACATACTGGGGCTGCAGGTGGCTCTCACTGCCCCCACCAGCAGTGGCCATAGACAGCAGCACACATGCAGCTGACAGCCCTGTCCCTCAGCACTGACCAAGCTCTGGATGTGATGCTGTGAATGAACCAGCTCTGAGGCTTTCCTTGCCCACGTTTGCATCCTTGTGCATGCAGCCACACAGCTTCAGGTGCCTCCATCCACCCACTGTGTGCTGGGGAACTGGGCTGGTGGGAAGGGATGCAGCCTCTAGAGGGGGCAGGAAGGTTGCAGTAGAGGAGGAGAGCTGGGAGGGATCCATGCCATCCCAGACTGGGATACCTCCATGGGTAACTGGGCTGGGAGAGTCTGTCCAATGAGCAGCACTGATATGCAGGCTGCAGGGTGATGCTTCCCCGTGCTGCAGTGGCAGAGAACTCAGCCACCTCAGTCCTCATCCTGCCCAGCTGTGGGTGAGCTGAGCGCTGGGGCTGGCAGCATGAGGTCACTGCCATGAAACACACCCAGCCCTGGGCCCCAGCCCCTAACTCACTGCTTGCCTTTTCCATTAACTCCTCTCCATCTATTTCCTCATTTCTAGTCTTTTTCATCAGTCTCTATGTGTTTTACAGTGCCCGAAATTATTTCAGTTTCCTGGGTCTGCAGCAATCCTGGTAGTCTTGATGAGGCTCAGCTATCAGTTTATATGAAGGTATATAATATTTTCATTTTCGAGGCTGCATTCTACAACTACTTACTCTTTTGGCTGTTCTCACCAGGAATCTCTCCCATCCCAGGCTGCAGAATGTTGTTACCCTAGATTTCACCACTGTGCTGGGCTCCATCAGCACCAGCCCTGTGCTCCCCATGCTACTCAGCATTGGGTGGCAGTGCCCCTGTACGCCCCTTGAGCTGCCAATCTCAGCCAAACTGTTGCTGGAGACAATTAGTTGTCGCAACTGACTGGTTTGATGACACATAATCCCCTCTGAAGGCAGCATCTGTTTAACTAGCAGAAATAAGAGCACTTAGGAGGCTGCGGAGTGAGCGCTCGGCTCTCCCCACCCTGCATCATCCTTGTTGCTTTGTGCTGGCATCAGAGCATTGTCTGCTCCCATGCTTGAGGGTACTGCAAACTGGAGAGGAAGTTTATCTGAAATGACACATTGGCTTCTACTTGCCACCCATGTTGCCCAGGGCTTGCAGGGGTTAAAAAAAAACACTGTAGAAAGGTTAGGAGGTTTCTGCATACATGAATCCTCCTTTAGCATTTGTGCTCCCAAGCCAAGCAGCTCCATTACTGCTTATCTCTCTTAACTTAAATGCTTTGTTTTGAAGCAGATTGGAGGTTTCTGAGTCTCTTGGTTTATCAGACTTGGGAAGGTGAAGCCCAACCACATTACGCTGCCAAAAGCAAAATGCACAAGAAGCAGCGTTTCCCAAAGCCGGAGAGGAACGGATGAGTCTGAGGCTACGAAAGGCTCTACAGGGACTAGATGATGCTGACTTTCCTCACATGGTAGTGTTGAAAATAGGGAGTGAATAAAGTTTCCACTAGCACACGGTAGCAGCGCTGCTGGTGCCAAAAGGTTGCTGCAGGAGTCCCCCCTGGGAACACAGTGGTGGTGGCACACGCACACTGCCCTGGGGACAGGGACCCTCCCCAGGCACACTGCCCACGGAACCCTCCCAGGTTGGTGCATGTGCCAGAGGCTCTGCTGGCTGCTGTCCACAATGGAGAAGTGCAGCTGAGGTCCCCAGCTGTGGCCACAGCTGGATGCCTGTGGCACAGCTTACACAGATGTATATTCCCATGGGTTGAGGTCATTGGCAAGAAAATAGTTAAAGCTCTGTTCATTTAGTTGTGCTTCCTTAGGATGGATGTGGGGACACCGGGGTGGAAAAGCAGAAGAGCAAGCCTGGAAATGGCAGTACCTTATCAGATTTTCCTTCAAGGTGCTGGACTGTGAGTGAAGGGCCACGGATGGGATATACCCAAGCACTGCAGCATTGGCTTGGGTTGCACTGGAAGGAAAGGCACCACGTGTCAGAGAGCTGAGTCACTGCCGGGTTATTTTCTGCTCCTCGTACAGAAGTGCTCAAGGGTGAGCTCTGACACGTGGATTGGTAGCTGCTGGCAAACACTGGCTCTTCAATCAAGGTTAATGATTAAACCTGTCACGAGCAGTCTCTCTCTCGATGCTCTTGAGAAGATGTTCCAGCCAACTGTATGCTGTGCTCGTGGATGGAAAAGGGCATTTCTAATGTGTGTTATCTGCTTCTGGCACTAGATTGTATCCTAACTTCTTCTTTTTGTGCTGATGAACCAGTAGCAAAATGTATATTTTGTACTGAACCATTTAATATTTAGTAACTTCAGAGAAAGGAGCCAGACGAACAGCACCAGGCTTGGGGAGTGGCAGTGTAGTAAACTCATAGCATCTTCCACCAGGAGAGGAAACTTGTGTGGGTGCTGCTTCCAGAAGGTGTGATACGGCGGCACGGCCGCTCAGGCCAGGCACCACAAGTCTCCTCCTGCAGACAGCGTGCCCAGCCCTACTGCCCTCACTGCTGCGGAGCAAGGGGAAGAAAACCCCAGAGCCCACTACCAGAGCCTAGCAGCAAACACAAGGCTGATGTAATACCTTCTAAATAACCATCAGTTATGAAATGCTTGAAATGTAGCCAGGCAGTTGTATTGTGTCCCTTCAGCAATCGATAACACATTGGTGAAGGAGGTGCAGCGCTCACACGTGCGCAGATATGATGTCCTCTTGGGGAAAGCAACAGCATGTGGCAAGGCACGTTGCTTGCCTGTGCTGGCAGATGAGCCAGGTGGGCAGCGTAAGGGGCTGCAGAGGGGAAACAATTTGGTTTGGGTTGGAAAGGACCTTAAAACCCACCCAGTTCTAACCTTCTGTCCCTGGCTTGCTGCCCCCATCAGCTCAGGCTGCCAAAGCCCCATCCATGGCCTTGGGCACCTCCAGGGATGGGGCACCCACAGCTCTCTCGGAAGCAGTGCCAGGGCCTCACCCGTGCTGCTGGCAG